CACTGCTTCCACCTTTTTTGGATCCACCTCGACACCTCTTCCAGAAATTACATGTCCCATAAATATTACCTCCTTCAGCCAAAACTCACATTTTGAGAATTTTGCATATAATTGTTTCTCCCTTAGCATTTGCAACACAATTCTAAGGTGAGTTTTGTGCTCCTCCTCGCTTTTAGAATAGATGAGAATATCATCTATGAACACAATCACAAACTTATCAAGATATTCATGGAACACTCTGTTCATAAGAGCCATAAATACCGCTGGCGCATTAGTGAGTCCAAAAGGCATTACCAGGAACTCATAATGCCCATATCTTGTTCTAAAAGCTGTCTTTGAGGTTGCTCCATCTGCCACTTTCAATTGATGGTATCCAGACCTCAAATCAATCTTAGAAAAGACCAATGCACCCTGCAATTGATCAAACAAGTCATCTATTCTTGGGAGGGGATAACGATTCTTCACTGTCGCCTTATTCAACCTCCGGTAGTCAATGCACATTCTCATGGAGCCATCTTTCTTCTTGACAAACAAAACCGGTGCACCCCAAGGTGAGATGCTAGGTCGAATAAACCCCTTGTCTAACAATTCTTGCAATTGTTCTTTAAGCTCCTTCAGCTCAATTGGTGCCATTCTATATGGTGCCATTGAAATTGGTGTTGTGCCAGGTACCAATTCAATATCAAACTCTACTTCCCTTTCTGGTGGAAGGCCGGGAAGTTCTTCGGGGAATACATCAGGAAACTCCCTTACCACCTCTACATCCTCAACCTTCTTATCATTTACTACAGTAACTTGAGCAAGAAAGGCTTCACAACCTTCCTTCACTAACCGAAAAGCTTCCAAGGCAGAAAGAAAACCATGAGTCTCCTTTTTCTTAATACCTCGGAATACAACAGGACCTTTATCTGGTGTGTTGAATAACACTTCTTTCTTTTGACAATCCACAACAGCTCCATGGGTTGCCAGAAAGTCCATTCCAAGGATGACATCAAATTCATCAAAAGGTAGCAGAATTAAATCTGCTGCTAGGAAATATCCTTCCACACAAATGAAGGAACTTCTAATAACTGAGTCTACCTTCAAGGTATCTCCCACAGGTGTTTTAACACATAAGGTATAGCCTAGCTTATCTGGAACTAAACGTAGCATATGTGCAAACGTATATGACATGAATGAGTGAGAGGAACCAGTATCGATCAAAGCATATAATTGCTTGCCAAGGATAGAAAGCATACCAGTCACAACTTCTGGTGCCACTTCTGCCTCACCTCGAGTCATTGCATAAACCCTCGGTGCTCCTTGTGCTCTGGTACCCTGCGTACCACTTCCTGATGGTTGATTTCGACCACCACCTCTACCACCCTGTGAACCACCACGACCACTCTGAAATCCACTACGGCCTCCCTGGTAACCACCCCTGAATGGGGCTCTACTAAATTGTACTAAAGGCTCGGACTGTGTAGCTCTTACTTCTCTCAAATGCGGACAGTCCCTCATGATGTGCCCAGGTTGGCCACAGTGAAAGCATACACCAGAAAATCTCCTACACTCTCCAAGATGCCTCTTCTGACAAACTTGACAAAATGGAAATTGTGTAGCTGAGGAAATTGGTGCCCTGTATGATGTTCCTGACATAGATTGACTCGGTGTTCTCCCAAAACTGCTAGGACCTCTCCTTCTTATGCTCAGTATCCGCCAACCCATCCTCAAAGTAAAGCAGTCGAACAAACTTGATGGTGTACTTAGTAACTGTCATATTCTCCTGCTTAAGGTTGGCAAATTCATTGTTCTTTGCCCTGATAAAAGCGTCGGGAAGAAACTCTGTCTTAAAGGCCTTCAGGAACTCCTCCCAGGTGAACTGAACTCGTTCACCATTAACTCTAGAGACTGAGGACCACCAGCTCCTCGCGTACCCCTTTAGGAGAAAAACAACATATTGCACTTTTTCCTCTGGGGTTGCATAAAGATATTCAAACACATCTTCCATCTCTCTCAACCACTCTACTACAGCATCTGGACTCACATCTCCCTTGAAGTCCCTACCACCCAAACTCTTCATCTTTGCATAGTCTAATACTGGCGGTCTTGCATCAACCGCCCCCACTCCTCTCGACTGGTCAGTAGGAACATTTTCACAACTTCCGTGCGAACTACAAGGAAATATTGGCCTTAGATTGATCCACCCAAAATTCATTCTTCACCGAATCTCTCACTTGGTTAAAACAAAAAATTTCCAAAATAATTACTTGAAAACAAATAAGTTCAAAACTCAATTTTGAAAACCATGATGCAGGTAATTTCATCCAATATACCAATACACATAATCATGTCAAACTCAATTCCCAGTTTAAGTCATTATGGGGTACTCCCCTCCTTAGGAGTGTTTAAACTCCCATAGGGTGTAGTACGCCATAACAGCAAAAAGAGGGAACCGGGCTCTGATACCAAACTGTAACACCCTACCCTATACGTTTTGCCTAATGATATTGTTCATACAATTGCAGCGGAATTAATCCCGGGTGTTACATTAATTACCAAAAATTTACCCAAATAAAATTTCGACATGAATTACTCGCGTAATGGGCTAACAGTTCTTGTAACTAAAACCTGCAAACTAATTTATCTGAATCCATGCATTCAATGACAAACATATACTAACAACCATATACATGGACTTTCATAGCCATAGTCACAGTTTCATACTCCACAACTGCATACCATACTTATACGTACCATAATCGTCATAACTTACACAACCACATAAATATACACATATCATTAACTTTCCACACCTGTGGATATCTCACACTACATCAGAAGCTAGTATGCACATGAAAAACGTTCTCAAAACATTTTTACAATAAGGTGTGGATCACTGGCCAAAATCCCGAGTAGTAGTCCAAGCACAGAATGGTTGAAGACCATACCTCATCTTGCCTTCAACTCTTGCTCACCTCCCACCTATACACCTATCTACTGCTGCTGATGATCTGCTTACACATAGCATAAGCAGAGAAGAAGAATAAAAGAGGGTCAGCTCATAGCTGAGTGAGATAATCATCGCATAGTGAGTTCATAACCAGCATACCCCTACCATACATCTAACAATCAAGCCAAAGCACTAGGATCAGATATCAGCCCTCCGACATCCCAATAGGCAAAAGACTCAACCACCTTGACTTATGCAAATGCATCTTATCATGTTTTACTTATAGGCGCCTGGCTACTCCCATGCTAATAACTCTCCCGGGAAACATACCCCACATCCCGTCGGATGTAGTCATACATACCCCAACATCCCGTCGGATGTGGTCATACATACCCCACACCACTATGGGTGTAGTCATACCCCGACACCGCTCTGGGTGTGGTCATATCTCATAAGAATTCTTCAGTCACCACCACATGAGAGGTGTGACTATCATACATATCATAATAGAGTAATAGCATAGGGAGCCCTAATTACTATGTAGTTGACCGTGAGACCACAACACTCATATTTGGTATCCTTGTACATGATTCATATCTCATCTTGCTTAATCATAATTCATTACTTACACATGTACTTGCCCTGGCCATAATTGGCTCAACATAGGTAAATCAGGAGTCGTATAATTGCACTTCCTCGGGATAAACCCTCGTGCAAGTCATCCTCCTTAAACATCATAATATCACCAAGGAATATATATTTTCCCACTTGTGCATCCAAATACAACAATCATGAAAAATCATACCTAATCACCTTCTCGAACCATCGTAAAGCATATTAACAGTCAAGCCCACAATTTGCAATATATACACAATCATCAGCATAAACAAGGTTCATATCGATTAGGGCAAGTCAATAATATCATACAGCAATCCAGGGTTCAACATATAGCACAAAAGCTCATACACCCCTAATCATGCCATTCTAGTTCACCTAGATCAATTCTAAGCATCAATATAATTATCGTGATACGACAAACCCGGTATGCCGTGCTAATCCCTCACCAGTTCTGGTCGTTCAAATACCGGTTTAACCTTCACGTGCTAAAACGTCAATTTCATGAACGAACCCCGAATTAAAATCCGAGACCGTCCTAATACCCCCTGCAGTATCCCCGTCAATATTAGTTCTAGGCTTCGGGTCAAATTCTCGAATAAAAACACATCAAGCCCCGGTCGGAGCTAAATTCAGCGATTCGGACCCCGACCTAAATAATTGCCGAAATTCATGAATTAGAACTAGAGGATTGATTACCTCGCTGCAAGAAGCTCGTATCTGAAATTTGGGCTCAATCCGGCTTCCGGATACTCCGAAACCCTAATTTGGCAGATCGGGAATTCAAGAAATTCTTGAACCAAAAACTCGTTTTAAAGCTCTAAATCGATAAATCACGATGAATAGATGAATTAGGCATTACTTACGGGATTTTTGGATCACTTATTCTCAAGAATTGAGCTCCGAGGATTTTTCTGTTCCTCCCCTGCGCGCCCTGCTTCTCGGTTTCTCTCGGCCCGTGAATGGTAAAGAAAGAACAGAATGAAAATGGAGAAAAAGATGACGGTGAGGAGTTATATATGTATATATGGCCGACTGATTTGATTATATATATAATATATTATATATTATATATTTATAATTAATACATATACTTATTCGATCGATCGATAATCCGATTTTCATCGAAATACTATCAAAACGCTCGATTTTAAATCGCGAACTTTCTAGCGATCGAAATATGGGTTTTGCCAGAACGGGATGTTACAACGCCTAGGCTCACTCCATCAATCGTATTGAAGCTGACATTAGTGTTTACCTTAAAACACACATGATATGGCTCCTTCCACACCTCATTCTCCTGGTTCCTTGACTCTATTTGCTGCCTAGCCTGGTGTTTTTTGTAATCATCAAGGTAGTTTCTTGCTCGCATCACAATCTGGTCCTCATTCAGCTTCTTCCCATTGAATAATTGGGCATTCCTCTCGTTCCACAAAAACCACATAAGCACACTCCAAATTTCCAGCTTTTCTTCATTCCCATAAGCCATTACGTTCTTCAACCATTGAAAGCAATCTTGTGTTGGGCAATAGTTAAGTATTCAGAAACCTCAAACCCCCTCTAGATGCGGCATGTCCAAGAATAGTCCCCAAACAAAAGAAATTGTGTCTCCAGTAGATCGCAAAACGGACACTTATCTCCACGTTTTTTACTTTTAAGGCTGATATGGTCACCTGTTGGGAGCACATCCTTCGCAAACTTCCATAGAAAGTGTTTATTCTTCAGTGCAACTTCCATTGACCACAACTTCTTCCACACCAATTCTTCTCCTGTCGGTTCTATCTCCATCTCCTCCGTCTGTACCTGCAGCCAGTGGTAGTATCTTTCACGCGCAAAGTATCCCCCATTAACACTCGAGCTCCAAATGAGCCGATCAAGTTCCTGAATGCCACATAGTGGGATCTGTAAAATACACTAGTGACTGGACTACATCACTTGTGAAGCAGCTTTCCAGCAGCGCCTTGTCCCAACCCTCCGTGATTGGATCTATTAACTCACTAACATAATAATCAACTGGCATCCCTCTAGGCGGCGACGTAACAAAACCTTTAGGACTATTAGGTAGCCATTTATCCCCGCAGATTCTCACCATCTCCCCATTTCCTATTCGCCAGCGCAACTCACTATGGAGAAAATCTTGTACCGACATCAAACTTCCCCATATAAAACTAGGTTTGTATCTGATGCTTGCCTCCAAGATAGAAGAATTCTTATGGTAATTAGCCCGAATGATTCTAGCAATCGGTGACTTGGGTCGTTGATATAGATTTGACATCTGTTTTGCAAGGAGAGCCACATTAAAGCCACGCAAATCCCGGAAACTAGGGCTGCAAATGAGTCAAGCCGCTCGCGAGCAACTCAGGGTTCAAATCAGAAAAAACTCGTTCGATACTCGACTCGTTATTTAACAAGCCGACTCGTGAGCCGACTCGTTAGTGAACGAGCCAAGCTTGAGCTAGACCATGCTCAGCTTGATAAGCTCGTGAGCTAGCTTGACTCGGTGGCTTGTTGAGCTAAGCTCACAAGCTGGCTTGTTTAGAGCTTGTGGAAGGATTAATTACTCTTCTGAATATGAACATTATCTTGTTAATAGGATGTGTATGGAATTTAGCTGTTATTTTTAGTTTCTAGTGTTCTTTTTATCATGTAAATTCTTATTTTGTACACATTTTTCAGCAAGAATGATTTCAAATCTATCTCATTTTGAGCCGAGCTTGTACTCAGTTTGCCAAGTTGTGTTAATGAGCATTTACCGAGCTCTACCAAGTCGATCTCTAAATAGATTATTTTTAATCGAGCCAAACTCGAGCTTGAGCTAGATTATCAAAATTCAAGTTCGAGCCGAGCTCGAGCTCGAGCTGAAAAATTTACAAATGAGGAGAGCTCAAGCTAAGCAAAAACTCGATTCGACTCGGCTCATTTGCAGCTCTACCGGAAACCCATTCCACCTTCCATCTTAGGACAGACCAGTTCCTCCCTTCTAATCCAGTGGACCCTTCTTTCTGAACCTTGCTGCCCCCACAAGAATGTCGTAATCAGACTATATACCTGGTCGATGATACCATCCGAGATCTTGAAAACCGACATAGCGTACGATAATTGAGCCTGGAAAACTGACTTTATCAGAACTTCTCTCGCCGCAACCGACATAACTTGTTCCTTCCACCTTTCATCTTCTTGCAAACCCGATCTACTAATTCCTTAAAGAGTTCTTTCTTCGATCTACTAGTTGTGGCCGCTACACCCAGGTAATTTTCGTGCTTCTCTACCATAGTCATTCCCAACGTTCCTCCGACTATCAATCTATTCCGTAGTAATACGCTCTTGCTAAAAGACACTTTGGACTTCTGATAACTCACCAGTTGCCCGGATTCTCGTTCATAGTCGGCCAAAATCCCTTCAACGTACTGCATTCATGCTGTGTCGCCCTACCAAAGAAAATGCAGTCATTAGCGAAAAACAAGCGCCCCTACAACTGGCCTCGGTCCATGTAAGCGTTTCTCCTTAATAGCTTTCTTTGTGTATGCTGGCAAACCTTCCGCGCAAAGAAGGAAAAAGATATGGGGAAACTGGGTCCCCTTGCCGTAAGCCTGTAACCCTCTGCTTGGTGTGAACTATTGCGACTGATGTCCATTTTTCTAGAACAAAGTATGTTACTAAACGCACACACAACATAACCTGTTGAATCCATGTCTCATCAAACCCCATCTTTCTCATAACTCCTTCCAAGAAATGTCATTCAACCCGGTCATACGCCTTTGCCATATCAATCTTTGCGGAGAAGTAGCCAACCCTTCATTTTGTCCTCTTCTTCATCATATGGAAGCATTCAAAGGCCGTTATCACGTTTTCGGTAATATACCTTCTCGGCACAAAAGCGCTCTGCGCTAGTGAGATTATCTTATCCAGAGACCTTTCAACCGATTAGCTAGCACCTTCGATGCCATCTTGTAAATTACATTGCACAAACTAATCGGTCGGAACTCCTTTTGTGAGAAAGGAGTTTTTACTTTAGATATTAATGCTATAAGCGTATGATTTATTCCCGACGGCATAACCCCTTCCTCGATAATTCCCTTGACCGTAGCAACTACATCATCCGCCACCACCTCCCAATATGTCCGAAATAAGAGTACCGGTAAACCGTCTGCCCCAGGCGCCTTCCGAGCTCCCATTTGCTTCAACGCTGCCCCCACTTCCTCTCTAGTAACCTGCTTTATCAGCTCGACATTATCTTCTGTTCCAACCAATTTTTGTATAGAGTCTCGGACCATCGTTTCATTTGGCACCTCGCCAGCGGAAAACGTGGCACAAAATAGTATTAGAGACAATCAGTAGCATTCTTGGTTCCCAAGAACCAATGCCCCTCTTCATCACGCAGCCGCTTAATTGTGTTTCTTTTTCTACGGTCAGAAGCTTTCCTATGAAAGAAATTTGTGTCCTTATCCCCACTCTTCAACCAATGCGTCTGTGACCTCTGTTGCCAGTATTGTTCTTCTTCTTCCTCAAGCTGCTCAAGTTTAGTTTCCAGTTCCTTATGCTATTGCAAAATTGCTTCAGTTTTCACTGATCTCTCCAAAGCCTTAAGAGCTCTTCCAATCCGGACACTTTTCTTTTTGAAGTTTGGGAACGTCCTTCGACTCCAAGTGTCTAATTTTGTCCTACAGTGTTGATTTTTGACACAACATCAACACCGCTCTCTTCATTCCACGCTTCCTTGATCACACCTGCACACTCAGCGTGGTTAGTCCAGAATGGGTCAAAACGAAAGTTCCATCCCCACTTTGGTTCCTCATCCTCATCACCACATGTCTTGCCAATAATGGGACGATGTTCTGATCTCCTCTTGTCCATATGACGCATCCTTGCTTCCTTGAACCGATCGCCCCATCTAATCGAGGCAAGGAAACAGTCCAATCTCTCTTCTATGAATCCGCCTCCTTGCTTGTTTTTCTCCCACATAAATTGATAACCTGAGAAGCCAAGATCATGAAGCTCAATATTGCCAATACAGTCTGCGAACGCTTCCATCTCTCAATGTTTACCTCTCTACCACTCCTCTTCTCAGTTGTCGTAAGTACCTGGTTGAAATCTCCCGCACACAACCACGGGCCATCCCAAATGCCCGAGCCATCATAGCATTTCCCAGGTTTTATATTTATCTTTGCTTTTCGGCCAGCCATAAACCCCTGTAAACTGCCATATTCATCCCGATCACTCTCAACCTTCATATCCATATTATGTAAATCAGCTCCCATCATAGTCAACTTGACTTCCTCTTTTCACCATACTCAGAGACCACCTGCTCTTCCCCTTCCCGAACCATCACAAGGCCAGCTTTCACCACTCGCAAATCCCAGCTCTTTCCATGTGCTATTATTCTCTTCTCTAGTTTGTTTCATTTCCATTAAAACTATATGGGGAGAGGTACACCGAAACAACGACCGGGGGGCTCTAACTGAACGCTTACTCCCCAGACAGCGACAGTTATAACTCAGAATTCTCATTTATTACCCAAAGGGGATAGGTTCCCTGCACCATCAACATTTTTCCTTCTATCACCTTTTCCCCTGTAGTGATCCTGTAGAGTCTTTTGTTAGGTCTCTTTCTCCTTCTTTTCCTCCCTTCAAGCTCTCGATGTTACCTCCTTTTTGCCCACCCTTGGTTTGTTTTATCGGTAATTGACTTGGTCCCTTCTGTGTGGTATGAGTATGCACCCGTCTCGGCGTTGTCTTCGATTTAGCCCCGGAGTTCATTGGCTTTGATCCCTTTGCTGGAATCTTGTCTTGTTTTGTCATCTTCACGTGTGCATGGCTTTCATTACCCACATCATTCCACAGGTCCACCTCTGCTTCATTCTTCCTTCTTTCCTCCCTCCATGTTTCTTGGTCCTTCACGATACCATCCTCCCCCAAAATATTAAATCGATTGCTCTTCTCCTCGCTACTTCTCCCCTTCCTTTATCCTTCATTCACCCTAGCCCCATGCATCTCCCTCCTTATCGATCTACGTAACTTCTTTTGAACCGTCATCCAGACCCCAAAGGTTTGTCCCATTGCGGGATCTTCTGCTTGAGTTTTAGGAGCCTCCATTACCTCTTCCTCCTCTCTCCCATTGGTGATGATTTCGTGCAGTCACACATATTTGTCTGTTTTCCGTACTTTCCACAATTGCTACAAATATATTGCAGGCCTTCATACTCAATGAGGTATTTGACTCCTTCAACTTAATATTGCCCTAGCAGCGGCAGGGTAAGGTCAACTTCCACTCAAACTCTACCAAACTTTGCTCTTACTCCCAGCTCCGTTGCTTTGTCCATCCTAACTAGATTCTCGATTAACGCAGCAATCTGCATGACTGCTTCAATTTTCTTGAGTTTTCCAGATTGGTGTTGAACAATTTATATGGTTAATTTGTGATTTGCTTGAATTTTCTTGAATGGTGTTTTATATATGGATAATTTGTATTGAGAGATTAATAGTTGACTTTTATTTTGATAGGAACTTGTTATTTTTTACGACGAAAACCCATGGGTACCCAGCGGGTTGGGTTGAGTTTAGTGGACACCCCTAAAATTTGAAAACACGATTATTCAACCTCCGATAATAGTTTGCATATGAGCAAAAAATAATGTTTAAGTGGTAGTGGAACACCCTTAAAATTTGGAAAAATGATTATTCAATCTCCAGTAGTAGTTTGCGTATTGGTACAAATAATATTTAAGTTATAATAGTAAAATGTCATTCTTATAACAAATTATTTTCAAAACCTAACGATTAAACCCAATTTCGGGATACCCTTGTCTAGTAGGATATGCCGAGAGATTTTTGTTGAGCAGTATAGACACCGAATGTATTTTATGAAACACGTTTGAACTTTTAATGTAACTTTTACTAATTACTAGTCAGATATTTTCATATTTAAGAATTATTTAATTTAATTTATTTTTTTGAGGAGACACCACTATTTAGAATTTATGAATTCACCACTGATTGAGTTTGAATTTTCCAAACCCAATAAATTTCACCCCATATTTTTTATGGATAAATCCATGAGTTTGAATTTGACCTGACCCGACCTGACCAAAACTGCGACCTATTGCCATCCCTAATCTCCACCCATCCCGTCTCAGCGTTCTGCCTACCGTTCTTTCTCTCTCCCTCGCTCCCTCCACGACTCATCACTCAACTAACTCGCGTCGACAAAAAAAGAAAACGATTTTTCTGCCCCCCCCAAATTTTTTTTTTTGCCCCCGCCTTCTCACTACTCACTGGCTCTATGGCCTTTCACGTAGCTTGCCCAATTACATGGTCAGTCTCTTTGTTGTATTACTCCTGTTGACACTCTCCGGAAGACTTCCTGTCCTTCCTCTTTTGTTTCTCTATCCCCTAATCTCATTCTGCGCTCCCTCCGTTGTTTCTCTCTCTTGTTGTTGTTTTGCAGCCTTCGAATATGCTCCTGCAAGCTAGGGTTTCCGCGGGATCTGCACGGGGAGGCATCAAAGTCCGATTTCCTGCTCGACGTTTCCAGAATCGAGGAGCTATGGAGGGATCCCTCGCGAATTAGGGCTTCCAACGGGGCTACCGTTCAGGTTTTGGTTCCGAAGATTGTGCCTGCTCCTCCACCTCCTATCCCTGCTTCTGCTGCTTCCATCCCGGTTTCGGTTCCCATTCTAGCTCCTCAGCCGGTTGTTGTTGGGGAAGTCGATGGGGATGCTGATCTTGGTGGAGAGGATTCCGCGGCTTTGTCCGCTTCTGCACACACCAAGCGTGTGGCGCTTCAGAAGAAGGCTGCTGCTACTGTGGTTGCTGCTGAGGATTTCGCTCGAAGATTCGAGTCTGGTGACGCTGCGGTGAGTTATTTCGGAGTGAATTGCTGCTGCTCCATCTGCCGCTTATGCTTTTGCTACATGCCAAGAGTGCTGCTTTTGCGGTCTTGCTGAGTGTATGTTGAGTACGGTCTAGATTTCTAGCCTCTAAGTGGTTTCCGTGAATTCGCATTTGTTATCGCTGAACGCTATGATTTTGAATTAGTGGCGAGTCTTGCGTGTTTGTTTAGTGGCAATAGTGGGTTGGTTATAGGCTTCGTGATATCTTTTTGTGAGATCTGTCATCATTACAATGCTTAAACTAATTCCGGAGATGGGGACAATGTGGCTGTTATATCATCGAGCTGTCTAACTTAGCAAAGGTCACTGTTTTGACAACCTTCTGTTTAGTTATGTTTTGATTTTCCTTAAAATCTCCCAGGCGGTCTCAAGAGACACCAATGCAGATGAGCAAGCACTTACCAACACAACCTCAAAGGTGATGTGTCGAATGTGCTTCTCAGGTGAAACAGATGGTAGCGACAGAGCAAAAAAGATGCTTTCTTGCAGAAGTTGTGGCAAGAAGTATCATAGGGGCTGTTTGAAAGCCTGGGCACAACATAGAGGTACTAGTCAGTAACTTCAATTCTGTTCCTCAGGTTCCAACTTCTGCATGTTCTGATTTGCAATTTGCAGATTTATTTCACTGGAGTTCATGGTCCTGTCCATCTTGCCGGACGTGTGAGGTACTGCTTCCTTTTACTAGTTGGCTCCATGGTGCAATCATGTTTATGTTCTTACAACAAACCCAGAGTGTCAAGTATGTAGGGAAGTGATTATTTATTCCTTTCTATGGTACCCCTGCATCTGTCCAAAAGCTTGGTTCAAATATCACTTCGTCAGAAGTATAATTATTGGAACTCCCCGGGGTGTTCTAAGCTGCAAGGTGCTCAATTAGGCAAAACATGCCGCAGAAAGAGCTGCTAGCTAACGCCAAATAATGTGTACTATTTTTTAGTGTTTTTCTATTGACGGTTCAGGCAAAGGAAAGAACAGTTGATTTTAGTGACAGAACTGACTGTATTTCTTTGAAAAAATTTATCTTAATGAATTGAAATTTTAAGTGAAACAATTTGGCAGACAGGGAGAGAGAGAGAGAGAGAGAGAGAGAGAGAGAGAGAGAGAGAGAGAGAGAGAGATTAAATTTGGTAGATGTTTAAAGGTTTGAAGGCATTTGACTACTGTTGAAATAAGCTATTTCATTTATCCAAAAGAAGTTTGGTCTTGTGCATTAAATCTTATCTATCTCACTCAGATATGCCGAAGAACTGGAGATCCAAATAAGTTTATGTTCTGCAAAAGGTGTGATGGTGCTTACCATTGTTACTGCCAGCATCCTCCACACAAGGTATTCCCCTAGTTGCTTTATGTCGTGCAGATTGCAGTAGCAGTATAAATTAGTAATTTGTATTTCTTAACCATGCAGAATGTCAGCTCAGGACCATATTTGTGCTCCAAACATACAAGGTGCCACAGTTGTGCATCTACCGTCCCTGGAAATGGTTTAAGTGTGAGGTAATCTGTGGGTCAAGTACTGCTTTCTTTTGTGCACAATTATGCCAAGTGACGAGCTGATTGATGGTAAATGATTGCTTTTTTTCCAAGTGAATCATGGTATTTTTGAGGAGGATTGTAGTCAACAAAGGTCTTTGCCAATATGATAATATAGTTTCGTATCAGGTTGGCTTTCGACGTGCTCCCTTTACTATGACATACATTCCACACAGATGTTGCTTTGAAACGTCTAATTTAGGAATTCTAACATTGCATGTTAGAAAGATATTAGATATGTGACCGATGCCCATCTCATCCTTTGGCCAATTCTCGGGGGCAACATTCCCTTCTTTGAAGGAAATAAAAATAGTGCTAATTTATGGGCTTTATATGTGCCTTCAATGACTGCTGCTTCTTGGAGTAAATTAGTTATGCCTATGCAATCAATTCTCAACAATAACCAGCTTAGGGAGTCCTAGAGCAGTTTTACCTATCTCTAGTCTCCATAACTGATTTTTGACACATTATGGTGGATGTTTTTGGGAAGATCATGTTCCTGAGTACTGGTTTGAGGATGCACAAGTTCAGCTGAGCATTTACTTAATTTGTTTTTCATAAAAAATGTCCGTTTGGGCATCTGATAAAACAAAAAAAGTGAGAAGCCCATATACCCAGAGAATATTGGAGTTGTTCCTGGTAGCTGTATGTTTGTGTTCCTGGTTTTCCTGTCTATCCTTGCCTTCTGTTTTAATCTCCCTTGAAATCTTTCAGGTGGTTTCTTGGGTTCACATGCTGTGATGCTTGTGGACGATTGTTTGTGAAGGGGAATTACTGCCCAGTTTGTTTAAAGGTACTACTTTCTTAGCAATCTTAGATTCGTAGTTTGTTTGATATTGCTGAATTCGAAACTCTAGCAGCTCTTTCTTGGGATAAAATTTCATTTGTATTCGACTTTAGGTCCATTTGCATGCAGGTTTACTGAAATTACTCTTATTCTTCTACATAATTTTAGAATCTGCAACTGGTGCTCAAGATTTTGAGTTGAGTCCCTTATGTGCTTTATCCTGTAGGTTTATAGAGATTCAGAATCAACACCAATGGTCTGTTGTGATATTTGCCAACGTTGGGTGCACTGTCATTGTGATGGCATAAGGTTTGTTTCTGTGGTTCATGGGGAGTTTAATTTCAACAGTTCTTTGCGTTTATGTTTTCCTTTTCTTGGGAGTAACTGGTTGATAAATTGATTTTTGAGGTCCTACTCACAGCTTCTTTTATTCGCTTGATATGGATGAATAGTTTACATATGAAAAATACCTTTTGCAGTGATGAGAAATATATGAAGTATCAGGTTGATGGTAATCTCCAATATGTATGTGCAACATGTCGTGGAGAGTGCTATCAGGTTTGCTTTCTACGAGTAATATTTTTTTTACCTTTGGTATTCCTGTAGTCCGTGATTCCTATATTTCCACTGAACTCCACTCTGTGTTCAGGTTAAGGATCTTGAGGATGCTGTTCAAGAGATGTGGAGAAGACGGGATAAAGCTGATCATGATTTGATTGTCAGCTTGAGGGCTGCTGCAGGATTGCCAACTCAAGAAGATATTTTCTCTATATCACCTTCCTCTGATGACGAAGGTAATGGACACATGACTTCAAAGAATGAGTTTGGGCGTTCTTTGAAGTTTTCTCTCAAAGGTATCATGGATAAGTCACCAAAGAAGACCAAAGATTATGGAAAGAAGTATTTTAATAAAAAATCGAGCAACAAGAAGAGCTCTGATGTGAACTTAATGAGTAAGACAGAAGCAGATGTGGATCAACGTGAGAAACGATCTCATGGACACAGTTCTGAGGAGAGAAAGGACTACGTGTCTCATTCTCATAAGAATGCAGGATTGGTTGGACTTCCGTCTCCTGCTGCTGCTGCTGTAAATCACTCTAATCCAACAAACTCTGTTGGGCGGCCAGGGGATCTAAAACAGAAGTCCGTTGATGAGGTGATGGTTAGTGATGGTGATAAGGGGACGAGGATTGTTAAAATTAAGAGCAACAAGCCTCCTGATATTGATAGTGGAGATGATAAAGATAAGCATGGCAACAAGATGATATCTGTGAAAACCAAGAAGCTAGTAATAAATCTAGGTGCACGAAAGATAAATGTTACTAATTCCCCAAAATCTGATGTTTCAAGTTGCCAAAAAGAGCAAGATTTGCCACATTCCAATGGTACGTCTATGTTTTGATGGACATTTTTATTTGCATGACTATGATACTGTGAAACTTTGCCACTGCCTAATCTCTTTGATATTAATTAGGACGTGAAGATACTGGCAATCCTAAAATTGGCGACAATCTGGTGGACAAAGATAGTGGGGCTGCTAAACCTGGAAATGGTAATATAATGGATTCTCTTTCAGTTTGAGATTAATTCAGTGCTTTACATGTGCTCCAACAAGGCTACGCTGGCAGTTCTGAAGAACTAATAGTTGTGTATACTAATGCCTTTCATCTTTACAATACACAGGAGGCAGATTTGATCAATCTGGCCAAGTAAGGCTTCTGAAGTTTGCTCGAAGAGGGAGTAGTTTGATTAAACTTGGGAAAGTGAAAGAAACATCTGAAGGGAATCCAAAACTCGAGCGAGATAATAGCACACATACGAGTGCTTCGTCAGTGGCCAGAAGCAGTGGTACTGCCACAGCTACACTCGGACGTGTAAGCGAAGTTCCAGTATTAAGAAGTGACAAGGCGCCGCAGGGGAAAGAATCTGCAACGCCAGATACAAATACTGAAACCAATGATGATTGTGGTGGTACAACTGCATCCCTTTCTTTGGCCAAAGATTCAAAGTACTCTCTGAAGTTAAAGATTAAGAAACCTAGCCTGGAGAATCAAAGCTCTCAAAATGCTCCACCTGAAGAAAAGACTGCCATAAGAGGGCAGAGATCAAAAAGGAAGAGATCATCAGCCTTTGCAGAGAAGGCGCCATTGAATGAAGATGAAACTGTTGTACAAGACAGCGAGATGTTAGAAGCTAGCTGGATACTGAAAAAATTGGGGAAAGATGCAATTGGGAAGCGAATTGAAGTCCACCAGCCATCCGAAAGCTCCTGGTGAGTCCCTCATCAGTCTCCCACGTCTCTTGGGTACTCGAAGGTGTGGAATTAACAGTAGAAGTGCTGCATAATGCATATATTGGTCATTACTTGGGTCATTTCCTGTCTTCGATTTAGCTTCTGCAACCATGGAGACTCATCTTGCTGTGTGTTTCAAGCTTGGGATTGAGATGAATGATGTGGTTGGAGGTACCTTAGTTATGTGGCTGCCTTCGTGCACCACATATAATTTTAGCAAGCATATTAGCTTTTTTCAACAGAGTTGGTTCGACTCCATTGGAGATCGCCTCATTTAGTTTGATGTCCCGTGAATCCAGGAACAAGGGAGCAGTTTCTGACGTAATTGAAGGAACATCAAAGTTATCTGTGACCTTGGATGATGGCAGAGTCCTCACTGTTGAGCTCGGAAAGCAGGCTGTTAGATTTGTTCCACAAAAGCAAAAGAGGTGAATATGGAGCATCAAACTCCCTTCAGCACAAGTTCTTGGTGGTCCAAGACGGGAAATGAGCAGCTCTTATTATTGCTGAAGATACTACCTCCATTGGCCAGATCATCAAGTCGATTTTCTTCTGGGTGCCTGCCAAATCTCAGGCTCCAGGCTCTTCATCAATTGTTACCATGTCCATATGAAGCTAGATATGATCTCGATGACTGATTTTCCTTTGTAGTAATTACTGCCTGTATTGGAACCGAAACGCCTAAACCCCATTTAGGAATCCAATGTTTGTAGTAATAAACTTTAGCGTGTAATTTGTATTTAGTAGTTAGGCATCATATTATATGCCACTGCTTGGCACATGACTTGTTAATTGAATTGAGCTTAAGGGCTCACATCTCACAAACAACTCTTTCCTAAGCAAGACTATCACAGTTGGTACAATTTTAGTCAGCATCAAAATCAGACTCTGCATTTCTTTTTTTTCAGTGCTGTCAAAACCGAGCCGAGCTGGCCGGTCGGACTGGTAAAACCGTCACCCGACCACCAGTCCGGCTCGGTACACTCAATTAACCGCAGCGGCTGGGAAGGTCGGTTTTTGACCGGTCGGAGCGGTTAACCGCTTGAACCGCCCGACCGGTTTTTAACACATGAACCGTCCGTCTGCTATTAAAAAAAATTAAAAAAATGAAAAATGCAGGGTTGAACTGTTGAAGACGCGAAGCAGCACCGCAACAGCTCTTCCCAGCGACGCCGGACGCCCGATGTCGATGAAGCCACAATAGCTTCTCCTTGTCCATCCGTCCGTTGATTGCTTCCCTTCCCCTGTTCTGGCCGCGAGTAAAGGCAGTACCGCAGAGCAGCTCCGCCGTTGCTTGGTCTCCAACAGAGTGATAGGGACGATGGAGGAGAGTCGAATATGGTGATGGAGGAGAGTCGCAGTAGAGTAATTGAAAAAATACGAAGAAATTAAAGAAGAAGAAGAAGAAGGAAAGGGAAAGGGGGAAGAATGGGGCGGCGGTAGCTGGGAATGGGGAAGGAAAGGAAAAAGGGGAAGAGTGGGGCGGCGGTAGCAGGGAATGGGGTAGGGTTTTGTGGGTAAATATATAAAATGTAAAATTACTAATTGGTATATGAAGGGTAAATTTCATTTTAGCCATTAAATTACTATTTTATATATCATCTATTTATGATATTATCATTTATAAGGTACCGGTTCTCTAACGGTTTTTTAACGGTCTAATAGCGGTTAGACCACTAAAGTGCGAGCCGTTCTCATTACCGGGTCAAACTCCGGTTCGGTTTTGACAGCATTGCTTTTTTTTGTTTCCAAAAATATGGGTTAATTGCATGGTTGGTCAATGATATTACAAAAAACGTTCAAGTTTGGTCACTTGAAATATTAAAATCCAATGATGGTACTTCACATTATAAAAACCGTTCACGTTTGGTCACTCTCCGTTAGTTGCCATCTATTTCCGTTAACAGAGTCCGTTAAGTTATGACGTGGCGGACGGAATCGTCTGATCAGCACTATTTAACTCGAAAATAGTTTGACTTGACCCGCCTGCTCATCTAAACTGACCTAATCCTCTAACCAAACCAGACCTAACCCACCAACTCATCTACCCACCAAGATTAAAACCCTACCCTTCTCCATCCCGCGCCGCCTTCCTCCCTACCGTTTTTCTTCATCTCCAGTCTCCACCTCTGAGAATCGATCAAGCACTCAATTGAAAAGTGAAGCACAAGCAGAAGCAGCACCAAATCTTCATACAATTGAAGGGGTAAAAGGCTTTGCCTTTACAATCCCTGGGTCACGATCTTGCTCATTTCCACCTAGGCCGTAAGAAGGGATTGCAACAAAAAGGCGAAAACTTTCAGTCGACTCCAAAGAATCGGTGTCGGCAGTCGATTCAATTGTATGGATCACCCTCTCCCTCGGAATATCTCATTGTCTTTTCCGGTGGCCTTCCAGTAGCCAGCCTCGGTGGTGCGATTCGTCCTCATCCCTGTAGGGTACTTCTTGTCCCTTTGGCAGAAGAAGTACCACTCTTTCTCCCCCATCTTCGCCCGAAAAAGTTAGTCTCCTAACTGATGTCTTTGTTAGGAGATACTGACACGACCCAGATGGTCTCCACGCAAGCCCAGCCGAGATCCAACGGGTGCAAGAGATGGGCTCATTTAAGTGGAGTTTTGTGGGTTTTTTAGCCCAGCCGAGATAAGAGATGGAGCTTATGGTGGCGGCTTGGTAGGGTTTAGGTGGCAAGGGCGGGAGAAATGGAAAGAAGGGGCCCAAGTGGGTGATTTATTTGGGGAAACAAAAATCAAAAAGTAGAAATTCAAAGAAAGTGGTTGAATTTAATGCTCCAAAACACCCAAACCCGAAAATTGCCTCTCTCTCTTCAATTTTTCTCTGTTTTCCTTCTCTTCCAAAGGAAGAGAGCCGCCGCCCAACTGTCTTTTCCGGCGACCATCTTTCTTTTCCGGCGACCATCTTTCCTTTCCGGCGACCTTCTACGATGCCGATCGACGACAATGGGGAGTTGGATGATCAAGGATCTTCTCCAATGAAGAAGGGTAAATCGATCGCACAAAATAGTGAAGAAGAACTCTATCCTACATCATATGAGTTTGTTGATGAAGATTCAAGTGGTGCTCCTGCCCTCAATGAAGAAGAAGAAGAAGAAGAAGAAGATAAAGGTTGATTGAGTTCTTTATATGTTTGTGTTGTTGTGAGATTGGTTGGTTGCATTGAATGTTTGATGTTGAGATTGTTGTGAGAATAGCATTGAATGATGTTGATGTTGTTATGGGTGTTTGATGTTGAAATTGTTGTGAGAATGACATATCTGTCTGGATCTTTCGGATATTTGTCTGTTACTTTGCAGATATTTGTTTAACTTAAACATGGTATTTGTCTGGGCTGTAAGGATATTTGTCTATTAGCTTGCCGGTATTTGTTTAACTATACATTATATTTGTCTGGGCTGTAAGGATATGTGTCTGCCACTTTGCAGTTATTTGTTTAAATAAGCATGATATTGTTGTTATGGGGTACTGATACGTGGGTTTTGGATACGATATTCTTGAATGTTTGATATTGGTCTGGACGTGGTGTGTGACCCACTATTTAATGCATTGTTTGATACTAGTCTGGTAGTTATAGATATTATTTATTTAAAGTCTGGATATTTGTTGAAGCCTATGTATTCTAACAGTTTGTGGGTAAGAATTCGAGCTATGTTGGATAGTTAATAGTCTGGGCATATTGATTTCATTTGTTTAGGACAATATGGATAATAACATGCCTCATACCATTAACTCGCAGCTCATAAGACGTTGGATCTAGAAGATGAGAAAGCGAGGAAGAACATCTTTTATCGCACTAAGGATGAGTGTTTTGATTTCTATAAGCGCTACGCTCACAAAAAAGGGTTTGGTGTTCGAATAGATGGGGAACACATAAGAAAGATCAAGAATTCTAAAGGAGTGGTGGAGAAAAATTATGCATACCTTTATTACTTTTGTAATAAGGAAGGCTGGACTTCCACAAGCAAAGTCAATGTGGATAATCAGATACAGCCGGAAGACAAGGTTGAGGAGAGAATGGTTTGCAAAATAAAGAGGCCTCGAGTTAGGGATGGATGTCCCGCCCGTGTTTGTTTTGGATGGGATGCTGCTAGGGAGGGATTTGTGGTGTATGAATTCGTAGAAGCCCACAGTCATGGTTTGCACTCTACCGAGCATATGCACTTGCACAAGTCTAACAAGTGCATGAGTGATGCTCAGAAAAAGATGGCTGAAGCTAATCGCGATGCCGGGATGAGTCTTAGTGCATCGTATCAGTTATTGGCTGATTGTGCTGGTGGGTATCAAAATCTGAGATTTACCAAATCCGATCAGAAGAACCACTTGAACACTAAAAGGCAAAGGACAATGGCTCGTGGTGAAGCGACTTATTTGCTGGACTACTTTGAGGACCAAAAGGACAAGCATCCTGGCTTCTTTTATGCTGTAGAGGTGGATTCCGATGAGAGAGTTGCTAATATATTTTTGGCGGACAGTAGGATGCGTGAAGATTATGCGCTTTTTGGAGATTCGGTCTCCTTTGATATCACCTTCCGAACCAATAAATACTTCCGTCCACTGGGTACGTGAATCCCCTAATTCCCTTGAGTTCTTTCGCATGGATATTTTTAATTATATTACAGAAATGGTTATGAATAGAATTGGTCCTTGGTGGTCTGATATTGACATGTGATGCCAGGATATTTGTTTGTGACACGACGGGTATTGGTAACCTTTCATACGATATTAGTCTTGCTTTACTGATATTGATTGGCATATACTGTGACACTATCAAGACCTAACACATAGGCTTGCAACCTTAGTTAGGGCTGCCCGCCGAGGGCCCATGGGCCGAAGGCCCATGAACTAATAATAGTAGGAGAGGAATTAGGGTATGTTTTTATACCAGTATGGGTATTATATGTTGTTTACTATTCATGACCTAATTCGTTTGAGTTTTTTCGACACTTGTTCGGTTATGCATTGTCATTAATAGTTGTCTTGTGCAGGGATGTTTGTAGGTTTCAATCACCACCGCCAAACTTGTGTGTTTGGTCCTTGTTTGATATGACGAGACTACTCCGTCGTTTGAATGGTTGTTTGTTGCATTTAGTCGATGCATGAAGAATAAGCTCTCAATCACTATATTTACTGATCAGGATGCAGCCATGGCAGCTGCCCTTAGAAATGAGTGGCCTACTGTGTTCCATGCCCTCTATACTTGGCACATCCTCATGAATGCTAAGAAGCATCTTCGCAAGGACAAGGCATTTTGGAAGAAGTTCCAACATCATATTTCTTTTATTTTCTACGACGTCGACAGCGAGGAAGAGTTCGACGTGGCATGGAGCACCATGGTTTCTGATTGTTTCCCAAATAGCGACATTGCGGATGGCCATCAATGGTTGGAACGTTTGAAGAAATTTCGTCATTGATGGTGTT